GCTATTTTAATAATATAATATAATATAATATAATATAATATAATATAATATAATATATGTATATACATATAATATTGATAATATAATGTAATACAATATAATACTACTACTAATAATATGATATTATAATTATATATTTTATATTACATGTAATATTACTAATAATATTACAATATAATGGTATAGTACAATATAGTAATATATAATACTGATATTGTACTGTGATAATAATATAATATATTGTATTAATATATATCTTATAAGTCGCTCTGAGTCCCCTTTGGAGTGACAAGGGTGTCAGATAAACGTCTTAAATAAATAAATATGGTTCCCGTGATTTCATATCATTGTGTCATTGGAGTTACGGTAGTATCAAACTGCATTAATTCTGCAGTATTGATGCACCCATAGTTTACAGTGTCATCCTAGGAGCATCTCAAAAGAAAAACAACATTGAATTCAGTGGGAATTGCTCTCTTGGACAGCTTGCATGGAGTCTGTAGCCAAGCTGCTCCTACTTAACTCCGGATTAAATCTGTCCAGATGGGTTGTCTGAACCCATATGCTCTTTCTTTTGGGAGAAAGGGCAAGCAGAATTTGATTGTTGGTGAGTGGGATTATTGGTGCAACCTGTTTCCCTTTCCTTCATATTCTGTTATTGAAAATGAGCTTCTGCACCTATACTTGCCACTGACTGAAGGTCTTCTTTTACAGTTCAGTCCCTTCTGAGTTTACTCTGAAGCAAGCTTCGCTGAGTTCAGTGGAAATTTTGCCAAATTATAGGAGCCAATGGTTCTGCAGAATTAACGCAGACAGAAACCGCTTTAACTGCCATGGCTCATTGCTATGGAATCATGGGAATTGTAGTTTTACGAGGTCTTTAGCTTTCACTGAGCCATAGAAGTTAAAAATGGACTAAATTTTGCATTTAATTCTACAGTGTAAATCTCAGTTCTGACCTCCACTCTCTTCTCCATATATTATGTGTTCCTATTTTGTAATGTGTGTATGTGGCTGGAGAAAGCCACTATTCCATATTTTATTTGCATTTTAAAATTATTTTTATTTTATTTTATTTTTGTTTTCTTGTTTTTAAGAGAGTTAAAGGCAGTATGAAAGGGCCAGCTTCCCCCAAAATGTATAGGTGTACACATTTGTTTGCTCTATGGTTTAGCCCAGCTATGGGAAAACTTTGGCCCTCCAGGTGTTTTGGACTTCAACTCCCACAATTCCTAACAGCCTACCGGCTGTTAGGAATTGTGGGAGTTGAAGTCCAAAACACTGGAGGGCCGGAGCTTGCCCATGGCTGGTTTAGTCTAATCAAACAGGTTTCACAGGTTTCTAAAGAAGCAAAAACCTGCATGCCTGTGTGATCAGAGATAACAGAAATGCTATGCTACCTTCAGATGTCTGGAAAAAAAACACACACCACTACCAAATTCCATTACTATTATTATTTGTTATGTCTTCAGCTCTGTTTTATTGGCTGCATCTTCATTTGTGCAGCTTGTTTCCAAGAGGTACCAATTCTGATTGAACAAATTTTACAGGAAATGAAAAAAAAGATAAGAATATATATTCTTTTGCTATAAAATGCAATTTCCAATCCTTATATCAAAGCAACTTGATACATTTTGATGTATTTTTACTCCTAGTCAACAATGTATTGCCATGTAGAAGTCACCCCCCCCCCCAATTTTTGTGGATTTTGATGTATTTTTTTACTCCTAGTCAACAATGTATTGCCATCTAGATTTCAACCCCCCCCCCCCCATTTTTGTTGATTTGGTACTTTTTGGGAACAAACTCCACAATTTTAGARGGGATTAGAAACTATGTTGTTACAATAGGCCAGGCGTGGACAAACCTTGTAACTTGGGGGTTGCATGRCGGGTGGGCGGGCAGGGAGGACGTTCTACCAAAGTCCCTTTCCTGCCCTTKCCTCCCCTTCCTCTTCTGTTTTGGAAGCAAAAAGTGAACGAAAGATGGAAAATTTTTGGATCCCAGAAATGTTGGTCTTGGTCAGGATGAGATGATGAATGAGAGAGAAAAAGTGTATCCATTCGATCCTGTTTTGCCTACTCCTGTTATAGAATCCTGGAATCCTACAGTTGGAAGAGACGTCCAAGGGCCATCTAGTCTACCCCCTGCCATGCAGGAAGGCACAGTCAAAGCACTCCCAATAGACAGCCTCTGCGGAAAAGCCTCTGGAGAAGGAGACACCACCACACTCCAAGGCTGCCTATGCCACTCTCTAGGAAGTTCTTCCTAATCTTTTTAGTTGAATCTCTTTCCCTGCCATTTGAAACTATTGCTCCCTGGTGCCCTAGTCTCTAGAGCAGCAGGAAATCAGTCCCCCCTTCTTCCTCTTCCTCTCCTCCTCCTCCTCCTCCTCCTCCTCAATGAGACACCCTTTTAAATCTTGAAACGTGGTTCTCATGTACCCTCTCAACTCACTCTTTTCCCAGCTAAACATCCACCAGGAGGAAAGGAGGAAGTAAAAAGGAAGGAAGGAAGAAAGGGTAGAAGAGAAGAATGGAAGGAAGGAAGGATGGAAGGGAATGGAGGGAGGAAGGAAAGAGAGACAGTACAAAAGACAAAGGGAATGAAGGATGGAAGGGAAGGAAGGAGGGAGGGAGAAAGAGGGAAGGGAGGAAGGGAAGGAGGAAGCAAAGAGGAGGAAGGAAGGATAGGATAATGAGAGAAAAGAGGGCCTGAGAAAAAAAGCCCAAGTGGCCACATCCGTCCCCTGGGCCTAGGTTTGCCATACCTGCAATAGACCCTCATATGCATGGGACTCGTCTCCCCAGTTCATTTGACATCCAACAAAACATGCCCTTAGTAGGCATTTTTTTAAGGTCACATATGGTATCCTAGGACCAGAAGTCCTTATGCTTCAGTAGACTTAGTACTATCTATGGTTTTGTATATTCATGAAGCCCTGTGGATAGATAGCGTATGCTGTACTATTACATCTTTGTTCTCCAGATGCAACCTGCTGTATTTTGTGCTCTGAATCTTTGCCTCCTTAGGACAGCCCTTTTGAGTGCCTCTTGTTGATTCTGAGGAATCCTATTGATACAGTGTTTTAATTCAAGCCATCTTTCATACTAGAAACAGGGACTAATTACAGACAACGATATTATCAGAAAGCCAGATATGCAATGGTAGAGCCCTCCCTGTCTTTCCTCCAACTTCATGACAAACCAGCTTTGCAGGTTTTTATAACACTTAAGAACAGTACCAGAAAAAAGGAAAACATTCTGAAATGGCTGGAGTTTTGACATTAAGCAAGTCCTGTGGTGCTTAAAAAGGTTTAAGGCTTAACCATTTCTCCCTTTGCTCAGCTCGTCTGGATTGTGTTGTGAGCAGCTGGCTAACTGGCAAGCAGTTTCGTCACCCCGAGTAGGAAATTAGATTGGCGGTTCATTAGAGTTTGTGTGGAAAGGAGATTAAGCCTCTTTCTCTTGAAATCTGGCACACTCTAGATACGTTGGCTCCTAATGTCCCCAGTGCTTTGGGGGTGACAGGGTTTATAGCAGGCATGGGCAAACTTCGACTGTCCATGTGTATTGGACTCCAACTCCAGCTGTTAGGAATTGTGGGAATTGAAGTCCAATACACCTGGAGGGTCAAAGTTTGCCCAGGCCTGGTCTATAGAATAACTGAAAACCTTAGATTGGATTAATCTGGGTTAGACTATTCCCTTCATACTGGAGAGACTCATGTTGGATTTCCATATGTGGTGCATCTACACTGTAGATTTAATGCAGTTTGACACCACTGTAACTTACACTGCTCAGTGCGAGGCAATCGTGGATGTGGTAGATTAATGAGGCCCCGGTCGTTTTGGCAGATAGACCTTGTAAAACTACAGCTCTCGTTTGTGTGTGTGTGAGGATCGACTTGAGAAACTGCAAGTTGCTTCTGGTGTGAGAGGACGTTATCCAGGAGACGGCAGGATGTTTTTTTATGTTTTACCATCCTTGTGGGAGGCTTCCCTCATGTTCCCATATGAGGAGCTGGAGCTGACAGAGGGAGCTCATCCGTGCTCTCCCTGGATTGGAACCTCCGACCTGTCGGTCTTCAGTCCTGCCGTCACAAGGGTTTAACTCATTGCGCCACCAGGCTGTCGTGATTCCATACGATTCAGCCATTGCAGTTAAAGTGGTGCCAAAGTGCATTAATCCTAAAGTGTAGATGCACCCTCAAACATGAAAGTTTGTAATCTTAGGCTAGTCAGACTCTGGCAATCTCACCTGCCTCACTTGACTGTTTTGAAGATGGCAGTAGCCCTAAATGCTGCCTTTGTGGGTTAAAAGTATCATTAGTAATATCAATTCTACTTATATTGTGTAATGTTTTCTCCTTTGGAATTTGAAGTGTAGTGAACATTATTCTCAGTAGAGCTTGCAAAAAAAAAAAAACTTTGTGGCAAGACTACAGCTCACTGGGATTCTGGAAATTGTAAAAAAATAGCTTTCCCAAATTCTTCCTAATGTTCAGGTGGAATCTCCTTTCCTGTAGTTTGAAGCCATTGCACCGCGTCCTGGTCTCCAGGGCAGCAGAAAACAAGCCTGCTCCCTCCTCCCTATGACTTCCCCTCACGTATTTATACATGGTCCTCATCATCTCTCCTCTCAGCCTTCTGTTCTGCAGGCTAAACATGCCCTGCTCTTTAAACCGCTCCTCATAGGACTTGTTCTCCAGACCCTTGATCATTGTAGTCACCCTCCTCTGGACACATTCAAGCTTATCAACATTTCCTTTAAATTGTGATGCCCAGAATTGGACACAGTGTGTAACAGTACCACCGTTTATTCAAGAGGGTCAGAGTTTCTCCAGCCTTCTTTGCACATTAGAGTTCCCTGTGGTGTCACATTTGCACACTGATTATGTGCATCATATCTAATTAAGTTCAATAGTGCCACAGTATCATGTGCTCCCAATGAAATCATTGTTTTGCTTTCCTTGCTTCCCTTTCCCTCCATGTGTTACAGTTCGTAGGGCAAGGCTGTGGCAGGAAAATCCAAGCCTCCCGTGTTGTTCTGGATGGTGCTGGTTCTTGAGAAGATAGCGGTGGACTTCACCTGGGAGCCTTTCTGGGCCTGAACCAAAGAAACCTGTGCCAGGGTGGCATCATGCAGAATAATTATTCAGCGGTGACCTTGCTGGGTAAGAATACCACTTCCCCCTAATTAATATCCTCAGGCCTAGGACAAAGCAAGGATGAACCATCTCTTTTTAACAAGCATGGTCTTGTCTGTCTTTTGCTCACTTCTTCACAGGGTTGGGTGTTGAGGAACCAGAGCTCATCTGCAAAATTGAGCCAGAGGAAGAGCGATGGAACGCAAATGAACAAGCTGCTAGAGAACGGCAAATCTTACCCGGAAGCAAGTCGGGTAAGGAGACAATTAAACTTGAAAGGAAAAGGTGGAGAGAGTTTTAATTGTTTATTTTCAATACTGTTAATATTTAATTCTATTTTAACAGTTATATATATTTTAGGTTTTAAATTATTTTTTTAAATTTATGATATTTTTATATTTATTGTTGATGTATTTGGATTGTTGTTTACATGATTTTAAGGAAGAGGGGCCGGCCAAGGGCAAGATGAATGGATGACATCCTTGCAGTGACTGGCTTGACCTTGAAGGAGCTGGGGGTGGTGATGGCAGACAGGGAGCTCTGGCATGGGCTGGTTCAGAAGCAACTGAACGAATGAACAACAAATTACATAATTTTAATATGTTGTTAGCTGCTTTGAGTCCCATGAGGGAGAAAAGTGGGATATAAATAAAGATCTATTATTATTATTATTATTATTATTATTATTATTATTATTATAGTATTGGTTTTACTGTAAGCCACTTTTAGTTTCTTTTTTTAGAGAGAAAAAGCAGGGTAATCATCATCATCATCATCATCATCATCATCTATATAAATAAAAATATAATATTAATATATTGTTGAAGACTTTCATGGCCGGAATCACTGGGTTGTTGTAGGTTTTTTCAGGCTATATGGCCATGTTCTAGAGCAGTGCTTCTCAACCTTGGGTCCCCAGATGTTTTTGGCCTACAATTCCCAGAAATCCCAGCCAGTTTACCATCTGTTAGGATTTCTGGGAATTGTAGGCCAAAAACATCTGGGGACCCCAGGTTGAGAACCACTGTTCTAGAGGCATTTTCTCATGACGTTTCACCTGCATATAGTGAGGTGCCTCTGAGGATGTTTGCCATAGATGCAGGCAAAACGTCAGGAGAAAATGCCTCTAGAACATGGCCATATAGCCCAAAAAAACCTACAACCCAATGTTATATTAGTTTGTGGGATTAACATAACTCAAAAACCATTGRAYGAAATGACACCAAATTTGGACACAAGATACCTATCAGGCCATCGAGTGACCATCACTCATAAAAACACTGAAAAACACACCAGAAGAGAATAAAAAAAAACAAAAAACAAAAAATGCATTACAAAACCACATATATATACAAACACACACATTTATACAAATACACAAACATATACACACAGAGATATACATATATATATATACACACAAAACACATATACACAGTCTGAGCCACAGCAACACGTGGCAGGGGATGGCTAGTAATAGTAATAATAGAGGAAGAATAGGAATATTTTCTGACCTGGGAATCCTTCCTCTCCAAAGTGTGACAGAGCAGATTGTGTTTACTGAGCAGCAAAATACACTCTGCACATGTGTCTAGTAGTGAATGGTTGCTGAACATCATGAAGAACTTCCTGATGGTAAGAGCTGTGGAATATGCTGCTTCAGAGTGTGTTTTAGTCTCCTCCTTTGGAGATTTTAAGCAGACTGACTGGCCATCTCTTGGGGGTGCTTTGATTGTGTTTTCCTGCATTGCTAAGGGTTGGACTGGAAGTCTCTTGTGGTCTCTTCCAACTCCATGATTCTATGACTGTGCAGTGTGAAAGAAGCTATAGACAAGTTGGCACTTCAAAGGAAAGAGCAAGTGTGTTTAAAAGCTTCCTTGTCTAATTACCCAGAGGCAATTCTTTTATTAATTATGCTCTTACTGGCAAGATTTCTATCCTCCTTTCTGTTTGAATTGGCTTGCAAATTGAAAAGGTAAGAAAGAAAATAACAACCGACAAGCATTCATTATTGGTTTCTTTGGCTGAGGGACACTGTTTGAAAAGAGAGAAAGAGAGTGAAGGCCTTCCTGTGAATCCTCTCTCTGGCTTTTTATCTAGCAGTCATGCCATCAGGCTGAGGAAGCACAGAACATTCAGAAGTTTTTCCTTTTCTTCCCCATTCCCTTTTCCATGTGCTGGTCCTGCTGTCGAGCAACTTCTGATCCTTCATATATGGCTGGACTACAACTCCCATGATTCCTCCCCAGTTGCCTATGTTGGTGAGGAACACTAGAAGCTGAAGTCCAACAGTTGGAGGCCTCCAAGTTATCAATTTCTGGCTTTAATGCTGCAATTAACTATTGTCAAATGGGAGTAAAAATGCGCTGTGAGTTGTGTGGTATCTTCTGTGGTATATTATGAGGCTATGAACCTGCTTTATTTCCAAAGGAGTGTCTCTGTATAGAAAATACAGCATAAAACTCCTGAAACATCTAGAGCCAGAAACTAAAATGAAATAAAATGTACAGACCTTGTATTGTGAAATTTTTGTTTACTCCAGTGATTTTCAGTGGTCTCCAAATGAAAAAAATTCCAGCTTCCCTAGCATGAAGGCAGCTAGCGATAACCAAAGGAGTTTCCCATTTCCACCATCATTCGTTGCAAACTGTCACATGGCTTTTTAAAACCAATATGTTATAATGGCAGAGACTTATAATTGGTAATAATAGATTGTGGACATTTTACAGTTTGACCTCCTTGTGACTCAGCAGGTTAAACCGCTGAGGTGCTGAACTTGCTGACCAAAAGGTTGGCGTTTCGAATCTGGGGAGTTATCCCCAATTTCTGCCAACTTAACAGTTTGAAAACATGCGAATGTTAATAGATGAATAGGTACCGCTCCTGCAGGAAGGTAACTGCGCTCCATGCAGTCATGCTGACCACATGACCTTGGAGGTGTCTACGGACAACGCTGGCTCTTCAGCTTAGAAATGGAGATGAGCACCACTCCCCAGAGTGTCAACGGGAAACCTTTCCTTTTACCTTTAGGGGGATTTATTGGTTATGGGTTGTGGAGTGTGAAGGACATCAGAGGTGCCATTTGACTGAAATTTGGGGACATGGTTTAAGGCAGTGTAGAGAATTGAATGTGTACAGTATAGATCTTGTTCTTTGTGGAATCTGCTACCTAAAGATTACTCTGGGATGAAAACATCTCATTGTAGGGCATGAAGCTTAAATAATTCTGGAATTGTGGGTGGCTGGCAACTGGAACTGGCTGTTCTGTAGCTGGGAGGGAAAAGCCAAGCCTTACATTGCTCTTGGTTTACTTTGTGGTTGTGGCAAGGTCGATCTCAATATTGTGTACTTTTTGGAAAGGAGATGGTACAGCTTCCCAATATTTTGCTGGAGGCCAGGACTCAAATCTTTGCTCTGTTGTGGAAACCAGTGAGTGACGTTGGACAATGTGTTGTTGAAGGCTTTCATGGCTGGAATCACTGGGCAGCTGTGAATTTCCCAGGCTGTATGACCATGTTCCAGAAGCATTCTCTCCTGACATTTCACCCACATCTATGGTGAGCATCCTCAGAAGTCCTGACAACCTCACAACCTTTGAATATGCCTGCCATAGATGTGGGTGAAACATCAGGAGAGAATGCTTCTGGAACATGGCCATACAGTGCAGAAAATTCACAGCAACCCAGACCTTGCACAAGTCATACTCTCTTATCCTCACAAAGAGACAAACTGTGAATTAATCTTGCCAAGGAAATCCTATTAATAGTGTATTCAGAAGTCTGAAATTTTAGAAGGGCCGGTGCGGCCTATTTACGTTATTTACACTGTGATAATTTTGAGTGTTGGTCTAAGTCCTTGTGTTGTCAAAGAGTTAAGGTTTTAAAGCAGCTTAAGTCTGATAGATATGTGTCTGGATAAAATTGCTAAAATACCTTGAAGGCACTCAATCCCATCTGTTATTCAAAGCTCAGCAGGGTCAGAGCTGGTTACTACTTGCCAAGAAGAGCACCAAGAATACAATGAGCTGTGGGCTGTATTCAGAGGAAAGCAGCGGTAACCCTTCATTAAATAAGTCTTGCAGAGAAATTCCTCTTGTAAGTTACCATAAATTGGGGTCAGCTTCAAGGTACAATAAGGGGACAGTAAAATATTTTTAAAGTTCAAGCTAAAAAAAATGACTGCCAGCAAAATAGGCAACAAAAGATAAGGAGGCAATTTGGACAGATTGAACAGTTAGAAAAATATAGAGGAGTTGCTATATGAGGAAATCCAGGCAGAGAGCCAACTCAAGAGTTAATTAACCTCTAATTCTTGGCCCTGTGTAAGTATAGCAACTTGATTGGCTAAGATAAGATAAATAAAGGGTGGCAGGGCTATAAAAGCAGAAAGGCCCAAGAGAAAGTTGTCAGTTTATTACAAAGTCAGCAGCATCCAACCTTTTATCTGCTGCATGATGTGAAAACACCTGGAGTAACGACTAGTATTTGTTTCTTGATACACTGATTCAATGAAATCCTGATAAATCCTGGAGTCTAAACTGAGTTATAAATGCCCTCTAGAACTCAGATTATAGCTATATGGATTTATTTGCAATATGTTGTTTTGGAAACTCTACTAGGTAATAGCTGAATTGAAATTGAAGGAGGTTTGAATTCATTGTAAGTACTGTAGTACCTTGAAACATCTATCTGAAATGTGTGTAGACTATATAATTGCCTACCTAAATGTGTTATATTTTTTCAAGAGAAATGAGCATTACAGTCAGCTCTCCATATTCCCAGGCAAGGGGCAGAGGACCCCTGTGAAAGTTATTTAGTTTATTTCATGTCAAGCATTGCATACATTAGTATAAAACTGATAAAAACAGAAGGAGCACAAGCGGCTAAATACCTTCTGAGTCTGTTCAGGGACTTCCAAGTTGCCCATTCTTGGTTTGCACCTGGAGGAAGACCCTCATGGGAAGCCATCCAGTTGGAATTGCCTGATTTTGCTTCCCACAGGGATATTCTTGCTGTTGCTGGAGGAACATTTGGAGGAGTGGTGGGCCTCATGAAACATTTCCTTGATTTAAGTCTACTAGTAGGAGGCTGATAGCCATACAGTGGGTGGTTTTCACAGTGTTCACATTTGTATTACATTTTTATCAAAAACAAACAAACAAACAGACAAAACACAGAATTTGCAAGCTTGGTAGTTGATTAAATGTCCTTTGACCAGTAGCTGGCCACTTGGAGTGCCTCTGGTGTTGCCGCAAGGAGGTCCTCCATTGTGCATTGTGCTCAGGTTGCATTGCAGCAGGTGGTCAGTGGTTTGCTCTTCTCCACACTCGCATGTCGTGGATTACACTTTGTAGCCCCATCTCTGAAGGTTGGCTCTGCATCTTGTGGTGTCAGAGCGCAGTCTGTTCAGTGCCTTCCAAGTCGCCCAGTTTTCTGTGTGCCCAGGGGGGAGTCTCTCATTAGGTATGTCATCCACTACGTTTCCATAACACAAATAAACAAATACATAGTAGCTTTACACGCAACAATCTTCACAATGGAGTTTTCTCACACGGGTTTACCTCACACTCCTCAGGACGACACTAGCTTTGACCCACTAACTCTAACAGGCTTACTAACTCTTACAGTGCTTGACTCAAAATTTTGTAACCAAAAATACCTAGTTGATTTTTAATATTTCTGACAATGTCTCATTTAGTGCTATATTCACCTGCTTCGCATGGGCAAATTTATACCAGACGGGGCAGGCATACTCAACAGTTGAGTAAGACAAGGCCAGGGCTGATGTTTTAATTAATTTTGGGCCTGCACCCCATGCGCTGCCAGTAAGTTCCCACAGGATGTCATTGCATGTAGCTCATTTGTGCTTGGTGTTCACACCGTATTTCCTAAAAGTGAAAAACTTTTCACTTTCCTCCTGTGAAAGTGAAAAACTGAATAAAACAATTGCTATGTTTTTATTTGAGGGAACATATTTCTAGGAATTCCTAGGTGTTCAGCATGATTTTGTGGTCAACATCCTTTGGAAGCTAGAAGTGTTCTTTCAGGTAAAAAGAAAGCTTGGTCCTCCAGCATGTCTCACTGGTCAACTTCAGGAGGATGGGGGAAAGGAGAAATAAAGAGAATATATTAAATCTTTAAATAATCATATCCTGCTGTAATTATAAATCTGCAAACCTATGCTCCTGCAGTAATTTTCTGATAGTCAAAATACAATGAGGAATTGCGGAAATCTTCCTAGATGCAGATTGAGAGGTGGAGGTGTTAAAGCAGAAACTGGATTTTCAACTATCAGGAGTGCTTTGATTTATTCCTGCATGATGGGGTTGGACTGAATGGTCCTTTTAGTCTCTTCCAAATCTATGATTCTAGATGTAAGACGAAGAATGATCAATCTACTATAAGATATAGGAGTGGAATGACCATACCTGTGTCACAGTTTTGTGCTGGTTGCAGATTCTCAGAATTGCAATCTAAAAAAATAGTCACATTTCCAGGCTACGTCCTAGTCTAACTTAGCACTGGTAGGGGGTTATTTTTCCAATTGGGCTTTCACTTTTTCTCCTCTCCCCCTCCCCAGCTGCAGCCACTGAAACTCCAGAGGCTACCATAGCCCCCTACCGGCAGTACCGAGGCACCACGTGGACCTACCCTGAGGTCATTGATCTCCTGGTCATCTGGCGGGAGCGGGAGATCCAGCAGGAGCTCCTGAGGAGCCACCGAAACCTTGAAACCTTTCAGGCTGTTGCCAACAAGATGGCTAAGAAAGGCCACAAGCGCTCGGCGCTGGAGTGTCGGTCGAAAATCAAAACGTTAAGGCGAGACTATCGGATAGCGAAGGCCAACAACTCTCCGGGGAAGGGGCACCTGGCCTGGCTTTTCTACGATCGGCTCGACCACTTGCTGGAAAATGACACTGACATCCCGCCTCCGGAGAAACTGGCCGGCTTAAGTCAGCACCGGGCGTCTATGGCAGACTCCACATCTCAGTGTTCCACAGAGGAAGAAGTAGTGGCCGTGGGTGATGGGACTAAGAGAGGCAGTCCAGGCGACCAGGAGGTGGTGGTCCTGGGGATGGACTCGCCAGGCGAGACCTCTGGTATGGGAGATGGGTATCCTGGGCGGTGCATCAAGGAAGAAGCCCCTGACGAAATGCCAGTCACACTACCCATGGGTGAGCACTATATTTTAATACTCCATGGAGTTATTATTTTGTGCCTTCAAGTCATTTCCAACGTACAGCAACCCTATCACAGGGTGTTCCTGCCAAGATTGGTTCAGTGTATGCGTCCCTACTATATAGTCATAGCACTTTGACCCTTCTTTAATTGCCATAGCTTCCACCTATAGAATCCTGAGAATTGTAGTTTGCAGAAGTATTGGGAATTCTCTCCTAGAGAGTTCTGTACAGTAGTTCAAGAAGTGGATTAGAGCTCTGAAACTAAATTCTGCATATTTTGTCAAACTACAAATTGCAGGATTCTGTAGCATGGACAATTAGAGTGGTTTCAAATGGCATAGCATTCATAAATTGTATCTGGCCCTGTTATCAATCTCCTGGCTTCTCTACAAAGTACTATATTTACTTGAGTTTAATGCTCACCTTTTTTGGCTAAATTACATTGCTTTTTTCATGTCAGGAGCAACTTGAGAAACTGCAAGTCGCTTCTGGTGTAAGAGTGTTGGCTGTCTGCAAGGACATTGCCCAGGGATGCCCGGATGTTTTATCATCCTGTGGGAGGCTTCTCTCATGTCCCCACATTGGTAGCTGTAGCTGAAAGACGGGAGCTCACCCCGCTCTCCAGATTTGAACTGCCAACCTTTTGGTCAGCAGTCCTGCCGACACAAGGGTTTAACGTAGTGCAGCACTGGGTGGGGGGGGGGGGGGGGGGGGAGGTTCCGATTTTTTATATTGCTAAAATTGAGATAAGCATTTGATTAGATTCACGCACCTAAACCCACCTGCGTGAAAAGGCTTGAAGGGAATGGCTTCATTCATGTTGCCTGCCTTTCTGACATGCTATGCCTGTGTTGTTGGGTGCATTGCAATCGAGAATGAATCCATTTTTTTGCAGTGTGTACCTTCATAATTGAAGTGCGCATTACATTTGATGACGCATTATACTGAGTAAATATGGTACATTCTGTCTCTCATGTTGGGAGGAGTGACTGAGAGGGAGCAGAGCTTGAGAATATTACATTTTGGATTGCAGCTCTGAGAATCCCCCAGCCAGTGTGGCAATGAACAACTCATGGGAGTTGTAGTCCAAAAAAGTAAATTTACCAGTCTCAGCCTATATGGTATAGTGATTAAAGCAGTGTTTCTCAACCAGGGTTCCCTTGAACTCTAGGGTTCTGTGAAAGGAATTTATTTTCCTGCAATTTGAATCTATTGCTCTGTGTCCTAGTAAACAAGCTTGCCCCCTCCTCAGTGTGACATCCTTGCAAATACCGTATATACTCGAGTATAAGCCAGCCCGAATATAAGCCGAGGACCTAATTTTACCACAAAAAACTGGGAAAACATATTGACTCAAGTATAAGCCGAGGGTGGGAAATGCAGCAGCTAATGGTAAATTTCAAAATAAAAATAGATACCAATAAAATTACATTAATTGAGGCATCAGTAGGTTAAATGTTTTTGAATTTAAGATAAGACTGTCCAACTCTGATTATACCATTTTTCTAACTGTCTTCAATGTAAATGTGCTTACATATCCTTCCAATAATAGAGTAAAATAATAAATGTAATAAAAATAATAAAAATAGAGTAAAATAATAAACGAAATAATAATAAGAATAAAGTTAAATAATAAATGTAATAAGAAGAATAAATGGAGTGAAATAATAAATAAAAAACAACAATAATAGAGTAAAATAATACATGTAATAGTAATAAACAGTAAAATAATACATGTAATAAAATAAGAGTAAAATAATGTAAATGTAATAATAATAATAATAAATGGAGTAAAATAATATAATAATAATAATAATAACAACAACAAATTAAAATAATATTTATTTATTTATTTATTTATATACCGCCCTTCTTACCCTGAAGGAGGACTCAGAGCAGCTTACAAGATACATATACATACAATATATTATATTATTAGCATAGTAAAATATCAGTATTATATATATTATATATTACTATATTGTACTATACCATTATATTGTAATATTATTAGTAATATTACATGTAATATAAAATATATAATTATAATAATATATTATTATTAGTAGTATTATATTGTATTACAGTATAATATTATAAATATTATATGTATATACAATATATTACATTACATTATATTATATTATATAATAAATAACTTTGACTTGAGTATAAGCCCTAAAAGGGGCCGAAAAAACTTGGCTTATACTCGAGTATATACAGTATTTAAACATTACTATCTTGTTGCATCTCAACTGTCTCTTCTCCAAGCATAACATACCCAGCACCTTAAACCATTCCTCATAGGGCTTGGTTTTCAGTTGCAGTGGTTGTTCTCTTTTCCCACCTGGAGATGCCAGGTGGTAGCACTAGTGTTATTATTGCATGGAAATTAGGTAGCTCCTCTGCTTAACAGCAAGAGCTATATTTTTTGACATACAGTATGTTTAAAAAATATGGACCAGATTTGAAATTGCTATATCTTTACAATCATAAACTGCCCATGAATGAAACTCTTTCAAAGGGTTACTGCTAGATACTCCTCCCAGTGCACAAACAGCTCCTGGTCTCAGTCATTTGCAAGATGGCGTTTTGTGTGTGGTCCACAAAAGAAGGCGTTTTGTGTGTGGTCGCCTTGTGCTCTTCTTTCCCTTACATAAACAGCCTATTTCCTCAAATTGTCGGTACTGTTGACTAATGCTCTTCGGCATTGGTGGATCAATTCTAAAATGCCATTGAAACACATGCTGCATCACAATTACAGATTCAGTTTTGTTGAACTGCAGAACACAAAACGACTGATGTTGTGAGGTCTCCATCTTGTGAATGACTCAGGCCAGAGGCTGCCTATGCCCTGGGAGAGGCATCTACCAGTAATAATTTGAAACCCTTTCAAGTGGCAAGAGTTTCATTCCTGAGTGGGGTGTAATTGCAGAGAAAAAGTGATTTCAAATCTGGTACATCTTTTTGAAACATCTGGTACAATGGAAATCTGGAGAATTTAGTGTGATGCAGGGGTTGGTGTGTTGGATTTGTACTAGACAGCCCTGATTCTAATTGCCAGTCTTCCACAATCTTCCCCTTGTTACTCTGGGTGGGTCTCAGGATTCTATCAAAAACAAATCATCATCTTTTAAGCCTGGAGTCTGCTCCCTCTGTCTCATAGATGAGGATAGTCCTAGGCTCAAATCCCCACTTGGCTATGGGGCTCACTGGGGATTCCCACGCTGCTCACTCCCTCCCAAGTCTAACCTCCTTTACAAGGGTTGTTGTAGGTTAACAGGTACAAAAACTGTGTTTCCCACCATGAATTTAGATAAGGAAAAATACTAATGTAATAAACACATTGACATATTTATTTAATAATAATAATAATAATAATAATAATAATAATTAAAAAAAGGGGGGGGGGGACTCAGGGTGGTTTCCAAGTAACATCACCAAAACATAGAGTAAACAGCATAATGTAAAATTAACAAAACAAAAAAAAAGCCTAAAATTATCACAATAGCGCGCACACACACACACATATATAAATAAAATAATCTTGCCTGTTCAGAGTAATTAAAAGGCCGGGCCAAGACTAGTGCAAACTCAAAATATGAGGGGGTCGGGAATTAAGTACAGTGCTATAACAGGCTAACAGCAATAGCAGGTACTGGTCTGTGGCTGCTCATTTCCAGGGACTATTAGAGGGATGACCGGGGTAATAGGTATGAAGTATAAGGCCATATTTGACAAAGTTTGGGGCTGGGCTAGAACTGATCATTCTCAAAGGCTTGTTGAAACCACCAAGTCTTCAAGCTCTTATGAAAGAAGGGGAGGGTTAGGGTTAGGGTTACAAAAGAAGGGGAGGGATGGGGCCTGTCTTATTTCCCTTGGAAGGGTGTTCCAGAGGTTGGGGCCACCACCGAGAAGGCCCTCTCTCTCGTCTCCACCAACCCTACTTGTGGCGGTGGTGGGAGCGAAAGGAGGGCCTCCCCGGAAGATCTTAGAGTTCGCGCCTATTCATAGAAGGACAATAGATATTTATTTATTAGAAGATTCATATTTATTTATTTATTTATGACATTTCTACCCCGTCTTTCTCACCTCAGTGGGGACTCAAGGGGCTTTACATACAGGCAACAATTCAATGCCTTAAAATACAATGCACATTTAAATAAATATCAAAATAGAATTTAAAAGTATATTAAAAACAATTAAAACATTTAAAAACAATACATTCAGAGTTAAACACTTAATCCACAAGTGTAATCTGGGCCATTCCAATTTTCACTGCACATTGTTCCAAGTCTACCTATTGCATAAGCTCTCTAAAGGCTTGGTCACAAAGCCATGTTTTCACTCTCGTGTGGAAGGTCAGGAAGGAGGGGGTTGATGTAATATCCCTGGGGAGGGAGTTCCACAGCCGAGGGGCCACCACAGAGAAGGCCCTGTCTCTCATCTCTGCCAATCGCGCCGGAGAGCAGGGCCTTCCTACATGATCTTAAACTCCGCAGTGGTTCATAGAGGGAGATATGTTCAGACAGATAAGTTGGGCCAGAACCGTTTAGGGCTTTATAGGCTAAAGCCAGCACTTTGAATTGTGCCTGGTAGCAGATTGGTAGCCAGTGGAGCTGACGTAACAGGGGCTTGTATGCTCCCTGTACAATTTGGCTGCTACCCGCTGGACCATTTGTAATTTCTGGACAGTCTTCAAAGGCAGCCCCACGTAGAGCACGTTGCAGTAGTCTATACAGAATGTAACCAGAGCGTGCACTACATATGGCTCTCCTTTTGGCCCCTTGGGCATGTTTTGCAATTTTATTATTGCATGAGTTTATTTTTTGTAAACCTGGCCAGTGGTAAGGGACTGTGGGAGTAGTAGAGGCAGAATATTTATTTTGCAAAACACTTGAGATCAGAAGATACAGGCACATTTCTTGCCAAGGGTTAAAAATTTCAGTAATGTTTCAGAGAGTTTGTATCTTGAACTTAAAATATTTAACAGTTTCTTCATAAACTATGAAGTAAACTCTCTTTAAGTAAACTTTCAAATAAAACACAAGCCTCAACAGTTTCTAATTTCCTAACATGAGTTTCTGCACTCTGGCAGACTTCTATACTTAAGCTCATTGAAAAAACCAACACACTTCTCTAACAGTCATTCCTCAACTGACATTCCCTAACTGTCATCCTGTTTAAACCTGGACATTCTAATCTAACCTGTCACTGAGTCAGTCATGTGACCTGCAGCCCCTCCCACTGCTTTAGGTATATAGAGATAAGGAAACTGCAGATCAAATAAGACATATACTTCAGGTTATAAAACTATACATTACAAGCCGATAAACATCATATAGAGGAGGCTTGAGAAGGTTGCTTTCCCGAACATATACAATATTTTTATGCAGTTTTTAAATGTACATGGAGCAATTTGTGTGCACTGAACTGTTGGAAAGCAAGGGAGTAAGATAGTCTGTGCATCCCAGGACGGGCAAGCTGGATCCAGTCTTTGGCCTCTGTCACTTCATTACACAAGGACTGCATTCATTTGTTTGGAAATGCAATGTTGTAGGTATTTTTCACCTAATTTAATTCTTATTCTGCCTATATGCATATTGGGCCCATTATCTTACTTCATTCTGTATGAGTGTCTTATGCCATGATAAATCAGTAGGATTACTTGTATCTAATTTAGTCTGTTCTCAACCTTTGGTTCTTCCGAAGTTTTAGACTGTACCTCCCAAAAGTCCCAGCCAATACAACCAATATTCAGGAATTCTGCTTTAGAGTTTTGTTTCCTGCTTTGGATAAACACCCACTGTCTTCCCGGCATTAAAGAATTTGTATCTTTTTCCTCCTCAAATGACAGAAGTCAACAGCCCGGTTCTTCTACTGCCATCTGTTCCCTGTGATAAACCGAGCAGCTCTGCCTCAACACCAGGTATGAACACCTCACTTTTAAATTTGGAGCAACTGCCGTTCTGCATTCAAGGAAATTGCATTTCTGAGCTGCTTGAATTGATGGCAGACATCCTCAGAGATTGAGGGGATAGTTGGAAACTTGGCAAGTGAGTTTTATGTATCTGTGGAAGGTACAGGATGGGAGAAAGAACTCTTGTCTGCTTGAGGCAAGTGTGAATGTTGCAATTGGCCACCTTGATTAGCATCAAATGACCTTGTAGTTTCAAAGCCTGGCTGATTGCTGCCTGGAGAATCCTTGTTGGGGGGTGTTAGCTGGCTCTGATTGATTCTTGTCTAGAATTCCCCTGTTTTTTTGAATGTTGCTCTTTATTTACACTCCTGATTTTAGAGGTTTTTTATACTGGGAGCCAGATTTTGTTCATTTCCTGGTTTCCTCCTTTCTGTTGAAATTGTCCACATGCTTGCGGATTTCAATGGCTTTTCTGTGTAGTCTGACATTAATGCTAATTAAATTAAATGCTAATCAAGGTGGCCAATTGCAACATTCACACTTGCCTCAAGCAGACAAGAGTTCTTTCTCCCACCCTGGATATTTCACACACATATATAAACCTCATTTTCCCAGTTTCCAACAGAGCTCACAACCTCTGAGGATGCCTGCCATAGATGTGAAACATCAAGAGAAAATGCTTCTGGAACATGGCCATACAGCAACCCAGCGATTCCAGCCATGAAAGCCTTCGACAAAACATAGAACTTTTCTTGTGTGTCCTCATGTAACATGTTTGTGAGTGTGATGGAACTGAGAGAAAGTCTTCCCCGAAATGTCTCTGAACTCATAACAGGCTCCTAACAATTTACCACAATTCAAGAAGGATATTGATTAACTGGAACATGTACAAAGGAGGATGACCAAAATGAACATAGGACTGGAAACCATGCTCTATGAGGAGTGGCTTAATAAGCTGGGTACATTTAGATTGGAGAAGTGAAGGTGAAGAGGCGGCATGATAGTTGTGTTTAGATATTTGAAAGATGATCACATTGATATTTAGATATTTGAAAGATGTCACAGTCTAACCCCTTCTTGGCAGGGGGTTGGACTGGATGGCCCATGAGGTCTCTTCCAACTCTTTGATTCTATGATTCTATGAGGAGCGGGGTCAGTTACTCCAAAGATTAGGTCATGAGCAATGGATTCAAACTTCAAGAAAAGAGATTCATAGAATCATAGAATTGGAAGAGACCTTGTGGGCCATTCAGTCCAATTCTCTCAAGAAGCAGGAAAATCACATTCAAAGCACCCCCGACAGGTGGCCATCCAGCCTCTGTTTAAAAGCCTCCAAAGAAGAAGCCTCCGCCATAACCCAGGGCAGAGAGTTCCACTGCTGAATGGCTCTTATAGTTAGGAAGTTCTTCATAATGATCAGATGGAATCTCCTTTCTTGCAATTTGAAGCCATTTCTCCGCATCCACTTAAACATTCCTGCTGGTGAGGGCTGTTCGTCCTTCCTTAAAGTGTATCCTTTTTGGAGGTTTTTAAACAGAGGCTTGATGTATTATCGGAGGTTTTCATGGCTAGAATCACTGGGTTGTTGTAGGTTTTTTGGGCTGTATGGCCTGAGGATGCTTGCCACAGATGCAGGCAAAGCATCAGGAAAGAATGCCTCTAGAACATGGCCATACAGCCCGAAAAACCTACAACAACTCAGAGGCTTGATGACTATCTGTCGGAAGTGCTTAGAGTGGTTGTTCCTCCATGGTAGGATGGGATTGGGCTGGATGGTCCTTGTGGTCATGTAGCCAGCATGACTGCATGGAGCATCATTAGCTTCTCACAGAAGTGATACCTATTGATCTACCCACTCTTGCATGTTTTTTTAACTGCTGTGTTGGCAGAAGCTGGGGCTAACAGTGGGAGCTCACCCTACTCCTCAGATTTGAACCGCCGACCTTTCGGTCAGCAAGTTCAGCAGCTCAGCGGTTTAACCTGCTGCACTACCAGGGGGCCCAAGTTAGACATCTGCATGTTTTATTTTGTCTTTTCTGTGGTAAGTGCCACTTGAGGATTTATATGTGTGCAAAGCTGAAAAAAAACCCTTTGAACTGCAGTTCTCAGAATCCTTCAGCCAGCATAGCTACTCTTCTTACCATGCAAATTCCAGCTTTGATGGGGGTTTGGATAGATGGCCTATGACAGGCCTCTTCAGCCTGCAACTCTCCAAGTGTTTGGGTCTTCAACTCCCAGAGGCCCTATCCATCTTGTTCAAAGGTCAGGAATTCTGGGAGCTGAAATCCAAAGCACCTCGAGGGCCATAGGTTGAAGAGGCCTGTCCTGTGGGATTCTCTCTAATGAATATCTACTGAATATACTGCCCTGAATATCAGGTCAGATAACCCACAATATCTGCTTTGAACTGGGTTATCTGAGTCCACACTGCCATATAACCCAGTTCAAAACAGATATTGTGTGATTTTATGCAGCTGTGCGGAAGAGGTCTTACACTCACCAGTTTCCATTTAAAGTGCTTTGTTTTCCTACCTGCGTATTTTAACTATGGCCCCTTCTACACAGCTGTATAAAATCCAGATTATCTACTTTGAACTGGCAGTGTAGAAGTGAGGGCCCTTCCACACAGCCATATAAGTGCCCATTTTAGTAATCCTGTTCATTGTCTGATGGAGCTCCATTGCAATTAGTTTTATATTGTTATGTTTTAATGTGTTCTTCTGGGGTGTTGTATTTTATGATGCTTTTATATTAATGTGTTTTTGTTTTATGGACTATTTTTGCTTCTATGTTTTGTGGACATTCTGTCCCATATGTAAGCTGCCCTGAGTCCCTTCAGGGAGATGGTGGTGGGGTATAAGAATAAAGTTGTTGTTGTTGTTGTTGTTATTATTATTATTATTATTATTATTATTATTATTATTATTATTATTATTATTGTCTATTATTCTATGATGGTGGTAGCCTGAATCTTATTTTTGGTCTTGCTATTTTTCCTCAGATGGGGCTGTCTCTCCCTCCCCCAGCCCCATACCTCCCCCTGCAAGGTCTTTTGCCGCGGAGCGCCTGGACAACATCCGGAAGCGGAAGAGGAGAAACAGGCAAGACATGGCCCTGGAAATTACTCAGGCAGCTGATAGGCGGGTCGAAATGGCCACTGACCGGATCCTGACAGCTCTCGGAGAATATGCCAAGGCGGATCTGGAGGACCGCGAGCGGGATCGCATGGACACGGAACAGATCATTGCACTCATGAACCGCCAGACAGAACTCCTAGAGTCGCTGGTACGAAAGCAGACTGAGGCCCGGATCCCGCGCCTCGCGCAGCCGAACCATCCGGCAGACCCTTCGCCCTTGCGCTTGGGCATTGCCAGGCGGCATGCAGCCAAGGCCAAGCTCAGCCGATGACTCCGGAGTTGTCGGCCTAGCTTTAAAACAACAGTCTTTCCCGTGACTTGGTAGCATGCAGGACTTGGGGGAGGGTACCTTTGTAAGAGGGTCGTGGCTTTATCTTTCAGGGATTTTTTGTTCCCACCCCTTTTTACAGTGATTGGATTTATTTGCCAATTGTATAAAAAGAACAAAAAAATTAAATAGGAATACAACGTGCTTTTTAAAAACATGATGGTTACGTCATGATTTTCTTTATATTCTACCTTTCATCTACATGGATCCAAGGTGATGAAGGAGAGGGAAACTACAAGGTGTGCTTATCACCATCTTGATACTCAATATTCAAGGGGACCTGTGGCTAAGATGTTGTTGTATTGCACTTAATCATCCCTGATTATTGACTGTGCTGGCTAAGGCTTTTGGATTTGCAGTCCAGCAATATATGGAGAGCAATGCAGTTCTCCAATCCTGGTAAAAAAGTATCTTAAGAACATAGGTCTCTTGAACCAATTCAGTACCAGCCGCTGAGATGCTATAACTGGGCCACTGAGCCTTGACCTGGGATGTGGGGGTCCTTGTGGACAGGTCCAAACTGTGGAAAGAGAACATCCATCTAAGGCGCTTTCTCAAAGTTGCAATCCATATAATAATAATAATAATAATAATAATAATAATAATAATAATAATAGGCCTGTTGTGGGAAGTGTCCAACGTGTGATCCAGTACAACAGCCAGCAGTGTGTCTGCTGTGGACTCACCTTGTTGTGTTTCAAATAATAACAGCAGCAGCAGCAGCAACAATATGTTATTTGTTCCCCACCTTTCCGCATGGCGCGAAGGAAGGTACAACATAGTCAAAACACACAGATAAAACACTATATAATTAAAATAAATATACAGGCAGTCCCCAAGTTACAAACATCCGACTTACAAACAACTCATACTTAAGAACGGGTGTGAGACAGCAGGAAGTGGGAGTAATTTACCCCTCCAAAGGGAAATTTGTTGGGTGAGTGGGCTTTATTAACAATAGATCCTCTTCATAAATGTAAAACTTATTAGCAGCAGCACAATCCAGCACCAGTAGCCCAAAGTTATAAAAAGAGCAAAAACATACAGAACAATGTTATTTCTTCCATAGGAGGGTTTTCTTTATAGGAAAATAATATGGTTGCACTATTTACAAAAGTAAGGTTTCCATAACACAAATAAAGTTCAACTTTCACACTGGAGCTTCACACACAAGGCCATTTCATATCGAGGCCTACCTCACATTCTGAGGCCTACCTCACACTCTGAGACCTATTTTCCCACTGAGGCATTTTCTCACACAGAGAGCTCTCTCAGACTGAAGGCTTACTAAGCAAAAGGGTAAAATGGATGCAATCACTCAGCAACGAAGCTTTTGCTGAGTGATTGCATCCATTTTATCCTTTCAGTGTTTGACTCACATTTTTGTAATTAAAAATACCTACCGGTAGTTAATTTTTAATATTCCTGACAAAACTCATTCCTGAAAAAAATTATCATGGGGGAAAAGTGTCTCAATTGAAGCTTTATCATCAATCCTTGTTTCCACAACAGGCCATTTTTTAAAAAACCAATTGTCATAGAGACAGAAAGTGAGGTGAAATCTTCTGAACAGGGGCACAGACAGCAAAAGAAACGCCACGGGGGTCTTAACTCTTCCCTATGCTATTCAAATATATTTGGGTGGTGTTACACTTTAAAAATGTACCTGTTCTGATTTACAAATTCAACTTAAGAACAAACCTATAGAACTTACCTTGTTCGTAACTTTGGGATTCACTATAGTAAAATACATAGGACAAACACCAAATATACAATGTAAATATAAAATTAATAGTTTTACTGGGTAGACATGCTGGGAGAGATCTTTAATTGTGTTTTAAATTTTAACAGCACAGCTGTCAGCTCACTTCTAGCAAGTCAATCCACAGTCTTGGGGCAGCTGATGAAAAGGTCCTCTGGGTGACAGTCACTAGTCTGTTTCTGGCTGGATGGGGAGTAAAGGGCAGATTATATGGAAGAAGGTGATCCTGAAGTAACCTGGACCCAAACCATGTAGGGGTTTAAAGATAGGGACCAAAACTTTGTTCTTTGCCCGGAAACTAATGGGCAACCAGTGGAGTGACCCCCGGTGGCACAGTGGGTTAAATCGCTGAGTTGCTGACTGAAAGGTTGGCGGTTCGAATCCAGGGAGTGGAGTGAGCTCCCACTGTTAGCCCCAGCTTCTACCAACCTAGAAGTTCAAAAACATGCAAATGTGAGTAGATCAATAGGTTCGGCGGGAAGGTAACAGCGCTCCATGTAGTTATGCTGGCCACATGACCTAGGAGGTATCTAGGGAAAACACTGGCTCTTCGGCTTAGAAATGGAGATGAGCACCAACCCCCAGAGTTGGACACGACTAGACTTAAAGTCAAGGGAAGCCTTTACCTTTACTAGAATACTATCACTCCTAGATGTTCCTATAACTAGTCTGGCTGCCATGTTTTAAACTAATTGGAGATTTTGAACCAGATCCAGAGGTAGCCCAATGTAAAGAGCATTGCAGAAGTCCAATCTTGAGGTGACCAGCACATGTGCTACCATCTAGAGGTAGCTTTCCCAAGCCGCGCTACAGCACATGACTTGCATAATAGTAGCAGAGCAGGGAAAGTCCTCATTTTGACAGGAGAGCAATGGGAAGAACTCATGAGATCTTCTAGACCAGGTATGGCAAGACTTAATATGGCAACATATGGCATGTTTATGAGATTGGTTTTGGGTTTTTCCCCCTGAGAACCCTGAGATCCAACAACTTAGAACTGTGTGCAAAATGATACCGTAAGGGAATGAAATCCCCTCCTCTCTAGAAGTAAAGAAGAGGGCATTTCAGACCAATAATTCATTTCCAGGAGTAGAATTATTCTTATAGTCCTTTCACACATCTATTACTGATCATACACATCTGCTTTTTTATTCCATATCAGCAACCTAATTGGAGCCCCCAGAAGTGCAATGGGTTAAACCTTTGTGCCAGCAGGACTGAAGACTAACAGGTTGGAGGTTCAAACCTGGGGAGAATGCTGATGAGCTCCACTTGTTCAGCTCCAGCTACCCATGTGGGGACACGAGAGAAGCCTCCCACAAGGATGGTAAAACATCAAATCATCTGGGCGTCCCCGGGCAATGTCCTTGCAGACGTCCAATTCTCTCACACCAGAAACTTCTTACAGTTTCTCTAGTAAAAACACAACAGCAATTCATTTAAAAATCATAATTAAACAATACAACTTTGCTACAGAAGTTGGTCTGTACCAGTTTTAAAAGACATGGCTGCGTGAAATGTCCTCCAGCCGTTGCCTGAGTTAGTGAAAGTTTCCCATAATGTTGATAAGCAACCTAGTTGCTAAAGTGACAGTTATATAAATGCAGCATTGGTTGGGCTGCAATGAAAAATGCTGTGCCGAAGGTCATGCTAGGGCTTAGGAAGTGCATCTGCAATGCAGAATTAATGCCTTTTGACACCAATTAAACTGCCATGGTTAAACGCTATAGGGTCCTATAGTTTAGTGAGGCAAGAAAGTCAAAAGATTTGGTAAAACTACAACTCTTGTGATTTAATTAATAGCATTGAGCCATGGCAGTTCAAGTGCTGTCAAACTGAATTAATTCTGCAATGTGGATGCACCCATGGAGTTTCACCATATGATAGATTATGATAGATTGATTTCCAGTTCCCACAAGAATCTGTAAACATTTGGCCTTTGGAGGAGGAGGAAGGTGGGGGATCTCGTCCTACAAGTCTGTCTGGCTAGATCTGCATGAAGACGCTTCAGTTAAGATGACACACCTGTCATTGTTTTGGGAATGGCTCTGGGGGAAATGAGGTGCACTTTTCTGGAGGGGAAAGAAACAAGTCCTGTCTTTGTCAAGGCGAAGGGCATTCGCTGTATTTATCGGATCACTTTGGGAACTTACTGACTGGGTTGTAGGTTTTTCGGGCTATATGGCCATGTTCTACAAGCATTCCCTCCTGACGTTTCACCTCCATCTATGGCAAGCATCCTCAGAGGTTGGGACCTCACACCTCTGAGGATGCTTGCCATAGATGCAACCTACAACCTACAACAAAAACCTACAACAACCCAGTGATTCCAGCCATGAAAGCCTTTGACAATTCATTCTTATTAACTCCTTGCAATGAAATGGCATTTATTTACATGGTTCTCCCCAACTTGCAAGTACCTTAGACTACGAGTGCTATCACCCATCTGGCCAAGGATGGTGGGGATTGCAGTTTGGTACATCTGGAGCGTGCTGGATTATGATGTGGAGAACAGGAGCTACATCTACACAGTGGAATTAATGCAGTTTGACACCACTTCAACTGCCATGGCTCACGATAAGAAATCATGGGAACTGTGGCTTAGTGAGGCACCAGCCTTCATTGGCAGAGAAGGCTAAAATACTGCAGCTCTCATCATTCAATAGCACTGAATGCATCCTTAAAGTGGTACCAAACTGCATTCATCCTACAGTGTAGATCAGTGTTTCTTAACCTTCCTAATGCCGCAACCCCTGAATACAGTTCCTCATGTTGTGATGAACCCCAACCATAACATTTTTTTCGTTGCTACTTCGTATCTATAATTTTGCTATTGTTATGAATCTTAATGTAAATATCTGATATGCGGGATGTATTTTCATTTACTGGACCAAATTTGGCACAAATACCCCATACACCCAAATTTGAATACTGGTGGAGTTTTGGGAGGGGTTGATTTTGCCATTTGGGAGTTGTAGTTGCTGGGATTTATAGTTCACTTATAATCAAAGAGCATTCTGAACTCCACCAACGATGGAATTGAACCAAATTTGGCACACAGAAGTCCCATGACCAACAGAAAATACTGGAATGGATTGGTGGGTTTTGGAGTTTTGGAGTTGTAGTTCACYGACATCTATAGAGCACTGTGGGCTCTAAACTCCATCAATAATATTACCAAACTTGGCACACAGAACTCCCATGACGAATAGAAAATAYTGGAATGGATTGGTGGGTTTTGGAGTTTTGGAGTTGTAGTTCTCCGACATCTATGGATCTGGACCAATGATGGATCTGGACCAAATTTGGCACGAATACTCCATATGGCCAAAAGTGAACACTGGTGGAGTTTGGGGGAAATAGACCTTGACATTTGGGATTTGTAGTTGCTGGGA